CCAACCAGGCATACTCTTACTGTTTTACACCCAATGGAGCAATGCCTTCATTGTATTCCATTTCTTTAAAAATTTCATCATCAAAGTGTTCTCTTAGCTATTCAACAATTAAAGGGAAAATCCCCTCATCCTTAATATCACCTGTTCAATTTGCTATTAATTAATGAATAAAAACCCCAGGGAAAAAATCAGCACAAGAACATGTCATTTTTAGGCACATCAGCTATGCAGTTTTCAATACTCAGCTATGCAGTCCATCAGAGAGAGAGGACAGCTGACTGCAAAAGGCTGAGGTGTGTGAAGTGTGGACACAGAGAGCCAGCAAGCACAGCCAGCTCATAAAGACAGTGCAATCTCTCTCTAGGTTCCTGCCCCCTGCTTCCCAGATTTACAGCTGATGAGCTACATTAGCAATGATCCTCACCCCAGCAGTTCATGGCAGCTCCTTTAAAGCTTCTTCAATGTGTGTGCATGCACAGCACAGTGTGCACACACCCAGACACATCCCACAGTGTCACCAAGAGGACTTGGAACACACCAGTGCCTCCTTTAGCTGCAGACCAAGGGCCACTTAGCAGGAGCAGGCAATGAAAGCCTGTCTGACAGCTCAGCTCAGCACAAATTGATGGCATTGCTGTAATGGAGTTATCAGTGACAAATACCTCCTATGCAACTTCCAGGTCACACTCACTTAAGCAATGATAAATGAGCATGAAACACTGTTAGCACAAAACAAGATCATAAATACTCAATTCTAAGCTTAAAAAACCTAACCATTTCAGACAGCTGTTGCATCTTGCAGTCTCCATGATTTTATGGATGTTCTCACTCTTGTCACAGAGGTGCTACAAAACAGCAAAAGATGACTTTAAGCACATATTAAAAAGAAAAAAAATTAAAAAGAAAGAAAAAACCCAAGTCATCCATCCAGAGCAAACATTGCATCACCCTACATTGGCTAATATACAATTACCTCAGTGAACCTGACAGAGTTTGTAACAGCTTTTGGAATCCCAAAGTCTGACATCCATCTGTCCATCCTTCTGTTACAGAAAGCTGCTCAGGATGAGAGGATGCAGACTGTGAAGGTAAACATGAAAAGTTGTGAAATTCAGGTATCTGGGATTCCTTTGTCCAAACACTGACATAGGTAGGAAGGCACTGGAGAAAACCAGGATAAGTTCATGGTGAAGCAGCCCTTCATTGTGCTTTATCCCCAAGGTTATCTCCACAGGCTATGGTTGCTTTTCAAGTGTATTCATGAGGGTATTTGCTGATTACAGTGAGATCAGTGACAGCTTGGGACAGACTGGCAGCTGCTCCTGCACTGCAGCAGCACAATGGGAGCACCTTCTGCCTCCCCTGCACCTGGGATTTCCAAGGTACAACATGAAGGCATCAGCCCTTCCCTCCCTTCCCACTTGTCACGCAACCAAAGCCCAGCATCCCCAGCTCACCCAGCCAAACTCTGAGTGAAAATGGGGTCCCTTCGGCCACTTCCATGAGCAGAGTTACCTGGACACAGTGCAGGAAGCTCCCTGCTCACCCACCTGCTCATTCCTGCTCCCCCAGATATGTCTGTCAGTCACCATCTCTGCTTCCATTGCTGCTGTCTGATGGACAGAATCCTTCAGTATCAACACTGCAAACTTCAGAAGCAGAGCTGCATATAAAACCTTAGGAGCAATCAAATTATATTTGTATCCTAATTTCCTGTGATGCTAAAAAATTAATCCTTAAAACAAGATTTTGGGAAAAGTTTGAAATGGTTTTATTTAGAAGTATTTCAGCCCCACTCTTACAAACCATAAAAACCCCTATAAAACATGTTAATTATTTATGTATTTTTAGGGGGTTGTTTACTTTTATTTAGTGACATTTCCTTCATGAAGTTCAATGACTAATCCAATATTTACTTGCTTACCAAAAGTTTGGAAACATCAGAATATCTGCATATGGCCATAGACATGGATGAAACCTCACATCACACTCATACTGACACTCTTCCAATTACAGTAGCTAATTGTGTTTTACAGTGCTGTACAAACAGAAACAAGCACCACAATACTGTACAGGAAGAATAATTTCTCAGCTCTGTGTTATGTGTCAGTTTACTGCTAGAACTATCTGCAATATTATGCCCTGTGCATTCAAATGTGCTGGAATTCTTCTGTCCTGGAAAGTATATTAAGTGACAAATTACACAACATGGCTTCAGTCAGAATTTTTTTAATTGTATTCCTACAAAATTCTGTAAACATTAGCATACAGATCCAGAAAAATCAATACAATATAATGGTGCATAAACTGTAAGTTCAGAAGAATGTCAGGAACACTTTAACAGTTTATAAATTAATATATACAGTATTGGATACTCCTCATTGGATAAGGAAACATCAAAACTGAGCAATTTAGCTGCAAGAGCTGTAGAACAACAGAAGTGCTCAGACACCAAACTTGACCATGAGGCAACATTGCAATCGACATGACTGCCTGTTGTTGTTTCATATTAAGCATTCAATTCGGCTGCTAAAAAGTATAAAACAAAAGTTTTGATAGGAAGTTAATTTTTATTGGAAATCATATAGCAAACATCCCTAAAATAATAAAAAATCCCAAACCTAGAATACTCCATCACCAGGTTTCTGGAAGGGTGAAGCTGAAGCTTCCTAGGCTGCACAAGGAGATCACTGGCATCTCCATTCCACACCACTTCCCCCAGAGCACCGAAGGTATTGCCAGCTAAAGGAAACATTTCAGGGAGTTTGGAAATGGGGAGTGCTGGGTGGGGAGAAAAAGAAAGATGTAGAGCACTTATTGGGCTGACATGCAGCAATCTGGGCAGTTCAGCTCTTTACTGAATTAGAACATCATGGGAATGTAACACCACTGCTAACTAATTCTGGGCTATTTTGCTTTAAAAAAAACCTCAAAACAAACAACAACAAAATAATTTTCAGCCTGCCTGTGATCAAAATCATATTCAAAGCATTCTTACAATGTTGCCCTTTACGAGATCAGGAACACACGATAGAATCCAGGATATATCACTCTTTTTCAGACAACACATGAAATGAAAAAGAAGTTATTTTCCTTTGTTCCCGTCCATACAAGCATAATTCACTAGAGAAAAAGGTATGGTAAACATATCCTAATGAATGATCTCAAACAAAAGGCATTCTTCCCATATTAGAAAATGCTCAGTATCACTGGAACTACAGAGTGCATAAAAAGACTAGGATCTTCCTGGAAGCGCTGGACACTGCAAGAACTCTTTTAACTGCATACCTATAATATGATCATCAGAGAATCTCTCCAAAGTCAATTTTTTCTGTTTCTAGAGTTGAAGTAAAATTTCATTCCATCATATTTTGGTACATTTTTCATACCTGACCAATCACTTCTCACAATGACTACATTGCACGAAAGAAGTATTTATATATAATAAAGGGGAGGTCATTTCTAGCCATCTAAAGCTTTTTGTTGTATTTTTTTCCAGTTGTTTAGGAACAAATTCTGTTCATCTCTTCTATATGAGATCCTGAGTAGTAAGGTGAAAAAGGTTTGGCTGATAGCACCAGTTTTCCATCACTTGTCATAATTCCCAGGGTACATCTATCATCAGCAATGCATCTAGAAGCACTACCATACTTGAACCTAAATGCTCAAATAAGAGTCAATAAAACAGTTATTCCTATTGCCAGAATCTGAGCCAACACTGAAACACCAGGAGCAGGAGAAAAGATTTCTGCTAAATCTGAGGACACAGGTTGCAAACACAAGAAAAAAGCCTGAAATTCTAGCCAAAATCTTTTTCTCAAAATGGATGGGGGTGGAGAAAACTACACCTGGTGGGAAGAACAGGAAGAAACCTCTGTGTCCATTACTTCCCAAGTAAGTAACAGACCTGCAAGCTGCCCACTTAGAATTCATGCCAAGGTACAGCTCCCTGAAGGTATTTATAAATGACCCAGACTCCTTCCCATTGCTTCCCCCAGAGCAGATCAAGCAGTGAGTGATTTATTCTAAGCCAGACTGCCAACAGCTTCCAGCATTTAATTACCATGGTGTGTTGGAGGCTTGGAGAGTTTTATCTGACATAACTCAAAAGGATTCATTGATTAAGAAACGTAGGTCACTACATTTCCTGCTGCAGGTTTTACTTGTATTGCTAACTCATAATAGCAACTATGACAGACAATAAAAATCTAACACAGAAGAGGTTAAACTTAGGAATCTGGGCTTAAATACAGAAAAAAGTCTCACTGGATTTGCCCTGTACATAGACCTGAAAAAGTTTTATCACAGATGTGTCTGCAGTTTTGTGTAAACTATTAATGTACTACAGCAACACTAGTTTGGTATTCACAGATAGTAAAAGCAGAGGTTTTAAAATGTTTTGCCAACACTTCACTGTTATTCCCATGTCTAAAATGACACAGGCAGAAATCCCTAACAAGACCTCATGTCCTTATCTGTAACCAACAGACTTTCCTCCCACTGATATGTGATTTGTTTCCTCACTCACATATCCCATGGGGATCTTACATTCACACATATGCATCTGAGAGGAGAACTGATATGACAATATGAACATAACTAGCAGACCTTAACTCAAATATTGTCAGAAGCAGTGAACCTTGAGAAACTTCCAATAGACTAAAACCTTGTTCAATGTGATAACAGATAGCACCAACAAAATGGTATTGAAGAGTTTCATGTGAAAATCTTTCCTTCTGCTTCCAGCTTTGGTCACATTTCTCATTTTTCCACGCTTATTGTTCTTTCTCTACTTCTTTATGCTAACTTTTATGTCTAATTTGGTAAAGACCATGCAGTTGTGAAATGCATTCTTGACTGCCCCAGAACTTTTCAATTTTTAACAATTTTTTTAAAAAATTAATTAGACCCAGGACATTTTAAGTCAAAAGAATGAAAACTTTGGTAACAACACCAATGGTACCTCGGCAATTTTGACAATTTTCAGTAAGAACATTATGACAATTTTCAGTAAGAACAATCATTAAAATGCTTCTCTCTAACATCATCCAGGGAGTTCCATGGCTGTCTGTACTCCAGCTGTAAGCCTCCATGAGAAATCTACATAAGAGCTCTGAAAAATAAAGGCAAAGGAGTACAGGGAAATCTGAAGGCTTTTAGCAATCTCAAGTGAAATGTACCAAAATATTCTACTTAACAAGATATAACACAAACCAGACTTACCAAAGAATTTTTCTCTGTACACACATGAACAAGGTTTTCATGTATCAAACCATCAAACAAATAAATCTCATCTCTCAAAGGTGTTTGTGGGGTTTTTTGTTTGGGTGTTATACATAACTACCAATGCAGTCAATATAAATTAAGCCAGCTCATTCATTATGTCCAGCAATTCACACAATATACCAGTGGGAGGAGATAAACATTATTCTGATCAAATACATTTACTTTAATCTTCAAAACACAACCCTTTTTCTTCATCCTCCTCCTCATCATCAGTAGAATGTGCATAGGACTCAAGGGTGTTGTATATGAAAGAGTACAGCTTGACATCTGGTCCTGAAGTAGAACAGTTTCTGCATTGTTCATTGTAGTATCTCAGCAACAGCCTATAAATGTCCCCTTCAAAAACCAAAAAGAAGTCATTAAACACCATGTGAGAACATGCCAAATGAGCAATGCATGATTGCAAAGGAAGGCTAGAAATGCACATGCACACTGAGACAGTGGCTAGGAGCATCTCTAAATGAGCAGTGACAGAGGCAGAAGACTGTGTAAATGGGAACGTCTGCAGGTTGTTCAGAACATAGGATGGCCTCCCTCAACTTCCTGCACAAGCTACCCTAACATTAGGCTTGCATACACATTACTTACAAATGTATTGCCAATCACCCAGCTTTGTGCTTCTGGCCCAGAAATTAAAAAACACATAACAATTACAACAGGGCAATGGATATACTGCTTTTCTTGTATTGCAACTGAATAACACATCAGATCACATCCTGCAGGATCAAGACAGAACCACTAGAAGACAAATCTGTATCAAGAATGCCTAAGCAGCTTTTCCCTTTTCAAAAGCTTTTGCAAATCTTCTTCTACATGTAACTCTGTTTTTCAGCATTACACCTAAGTGAATCAGAATAGCATCTAGAAGTCTTCTAAACTGATTAGCACTGTGCAGTAGATCCCAAAACAGAAGAGTTCCCCATTCTGGGAACTGGTACAAATAAACTGAGACTCATTTGCTTGTGCTCAGCACTTAGTGACAAGAATTCATATTGGAAAATTTCTACTTAGAGAGATGGTCACGTCTCTTTTGTGCACACAGAGATTTCTTTTTGCTCACCAATAGTTTGGCCCTTCTCACAGAGAAAAGTATGCATGCTGTAAATGTCCCGCATCAGCTCCACATCTCCAAAGGTAAAATACACAACATCACGTCCAGCCTCTGCAGCTGCCAGTATCTGAATTAAGGCTGAAACAAGGAAAAAAGATTACACATGAACACAGGATAAAACAATTTGCTGAAGGAAAAAACACAGCTTAAGTTTACAGCAAGCAACCATAGCACCCACATCCATGTGGATGTTGCAAAGCACTACAAACAATGGGTAGGTAAATATTATTTCCATTTTTTAAATGAAGAAATGAAGTGGTAAGGAATGCTGGGCACTGCAAGTCAAGAGTGTTGGAGTTTTCTGCTAGAGCTGTTAGCGACATCCACCCTCACTTCCAGCTAAACAATGTGCTTAAAACAGAGAGGGGTTTATTTTGGTCCATGTCTGCCCCCAAGCAGCATGCAGCCGTTAATTATCCAATAAATGCCTGTGGCAGCATAAGGCAACAGAGCAGCCCCTCCCATGCTGGTATGAGCTGCCCATACAGCCACAGACAGTGGGGTAAAAAGCATCCATGAGCACTTGGCAATTTCCATTCTGTGCCACCTGTAAGAAGGAATGGAGCCAATCCTTCCACTAGGTAAGCTATGCAAAGTGAAAGCTGACCCAACTTTTAGCTCCAAGAAAATAACTATGGTTCTGCAGCCTGTTCCTGCATAACTTCAGGTGTCCAGCACACCTACAATAGAAGTAAGCAGCAAGGAATAGAATGGCTTCCTCTGACCTGTGTGGGGTGATGTCAGCAATGCTGACATGTTACTTAACTTCCAGCTTTCTGTCAAACCCATTGGCCCAAGCTGCATCCCAAGTTCTGCCAACAGCTAACATTACAATGTAGACAGACTTTGTTCCTCTACATGCAAAAGAAAAAAAATGTTTCCTCTCTTGGGAACAGTTTTTTGAAGATTCACCTTGAGAAATCACCTGTATCAGTAGTGCTGCTGAGCCAAGCTAATGACTCACTGCAATTGGAGCAAGTAGCTCTGGTCCATTTCTCACCCAGCTCCTGAGTTTTCTGCAGCTCTCTGGTGCTCATCAGACATCACTGTGCCAATTCCATTCACCAAAGTGGCAGAAAATTGTAGATGAAGAATAAAAGCTAATTGTTTTCTGCTAGAACAGCAGTTGAATTGGCAGAGTGAAAGGTTTGCCAAGAGCCAGAGCTGAGGCAAGGGAGGGCACCAGACCACAGAGCCAGGAACAACAAAGAGGGAGAAGAAAACCAGGACCCTTTTAGGCAGCACCAAACTTAGAAGAGTGCAGCTTTTCCATCAGCCAGCACTGCCAGGCCTGAGTGCCACAGAGGCATGCAATCAATCACAGGCTCATTTCAGGGAACTACAATAGTCCTAACCAATGGAACCCAGCAACTATTTCATCTGCTGCAACTTGTCTCCTTCAGAGCCTGTTGGTGCAGCTCTGATATTAATGCCTCCTTTTTCTACCCAGTAAGTAGAGTTAATTAAAATGTGATTAATATTGTCTTTGTAAAGATTAATTTTAAATAAAACTGTGTACATAGTGCATTACCACCTGCTAGTGGAAGCTAAATAGAAAGCTGTTCAGAGCTCAGCTTAACAATCTTTCACATTTTTAAACAGAGACCTATTAAAACACTGCATTCCTCAATAAAAAAAACTTCCTCTTGTAAACCCATAGCCAAAATTATAAATTACATGATTCACATGTGAAATTAATCTCAATCTGGGAATGATATTTTAATTAAACCACTGAACCAGCTGTGGATTTAGTAAAGCTTCAGTAGTTTAGCTTTTAAAGAGTCTAATTAACTAGCTTGCATAGGGGAACAGAACCTAATGAATCTTATTATTCATTCCAAACTGCAGTTTCACTTTACAAGATGTTAAAAATATCCTGCTGCTTATTTTGAATTGCTATAGATCTTATGAAACAAGGATCAAAATTTCTGTCAAGAATCAGACTACACAAATCTTCTGGACATTAATGATACACAATACCATGGGAAATTTCCATGCTACTGGTACAGAAAGAAGCATCACAGGAAGAGCAACAGAGCCTGTGGTACTGGGGTCTGGAGGGATCTGAGCTGTCTTGGCCCTTGCACCCAGCTGATGTGATCCCACTTAATTCTGGACTTGCACCTGGAGCAATGGCTGTACTGACATCCTTCTTCTACTTTAAGAAAACATACATGGGATATTACAGTTCAGATCCAAGATCTTATGCAAATTGAAGTACTTGTTAAACCTTCCTAACATAAATCAAGTGTGCTCAGATCCTACAGTAAATACTAGTCCTGATATTGATAAGATATGCATTTGGCAGCCTATTTTATCTAATGGAAATCAAAAAACAACTGCCAGGAACTCAATGAGCATTGAGAAAAAAATAGATACCTTATGAATTAAGCACATTAAAAAAGAAATGAAACTGGTAGCCTGATGATTGTCTCACTGTAGCTACCTAAAGCTGTTCTGAAAAGCAAATTTGAAATACTCTTCAAATGCTTGGAAACAACAAAGAAATGTAAATTTCTATTTAGAATTATATGAACCAGGATATGAATTAATATGTCAGGATCCATCAGTTCTTGAATTGATGGAAAAGGTCTAAAATGAATGTAGGCATGTGATATCTGCTGCATTATAAATACGCTAATTAAATATAAAAGAACATGAGAAAGTGAGTGATATAGCAGGCAAGTCAGGAAAGAAAGCAGCATGACTGAGTGACTGGAAACCTCTTTGGCATACAGCAATATATTAAGGGGTAAAACTAAACATTAACCATTGCCAGCAAATTTGTGAAGCCTTGCAAATTACCAGGTACTTTAAACAGCTTTGCAGAGATATGAATTTCAGGCAGAATCTGCAAAGACTGCTCCAGAAAGGTCAACTGATTTATATGACTGACAACTGCAATGAACATGTTCTGTGACCTAAAGCTGCATTTTGGGTTTTGAAAGGTTTCAGTGCTACAAGTCCTTGCAAACTCAGCATTTCACCATCATGTGCTTGAACCAAACTTTAAACTGAAAATAGTATAACAGTCTACAGCACAAAGAATAAAGTGGAATGCTCTTTTATTGTTGAAGGCCACATTACTCACAGCCTAAAGATCAGCACTAATGTACCAATTCTATAGAATGCCATTTCTTGGCAAACATGTACTAATTAGAACAAAAGCAAAAAATGTACTTGAACAAAAACACATGGCCCAGGACCAAAATGTCAGTGATTTAATTAATCTGAACATTAAGAAATGCTATGGTTTACCTTTTAATCGGGAGTCCCCTCCAAAGGCACCACATCCCCAGTTTCCTGTGGCTATTGCAGAGAGATGCTGAGGTGGAACGTTGGGTCGAGAGAAGCCACAGTAGGCCTGCATGCACACAGGGGTCACAGATGGATCTGAGAGGCAGCCTACTGCAATGCTTCCAAACAATAAAATGATAACAAAACCCAGCATTGTCTTCTAGCAACACCAAATTCAAACTACTTCAATACAGTCTTCCTTTAAATTCAACATCAATAACAAAAAAAATTAAGACAGGAAGACTTTTGCCTTATTTGGACCCAAGTTAAAAATTAAGATACAGGTCCTGAGTCCCAGGCATTTCATCACAGCTACAGGAACCTTTTCAGGATAAAGACTTAAAATTTTTCTTAAATACCAATCAGTCCTCAAAAAAAAAAAAACATCAGCCGAACCAATACACCTTATAAATGTTGCAGTGATTGACCATTATTTAATTTAAAAATCCAAACCAAATCAATACACTGAAAATTGTAGGCAGATCATAAATTCACTGATATAGGTAATTAGAATTTTGTACTAAGATATCAGTGAGGTTTACAAACTCTACTTAAATGTCTTTTTTAGGGCTAATTTCATTACCAACCATGAAGAAACAAGCTGATGAATGTTACTTTAGTCAAGATGCTAAGGTTTCACAACTAATTTAGTCCTTCAGCACTGTACATAATTTTAAGAGGGTATATACCCTTTCCAGCTGAGAATTAGGGTGGTTTGTTCCTATGTTTGAATTTATTTAAAATACATCCTATAATATTCTATACCCTCCATATTGCAGAAAGAAGGAGGGTTTAACAATAACAACATTGAGCTCTTATATTCTACACCCAAGCTCACTGCATTTGTAAATGTAGAATCACACTAAGGAAGCTCATCAGCATGTTTTGATCCCAAAAATTGGCCCACTAGCAGAGTATAACTGAATTAGCATTCCTGTACTCCACTGCCCAGTAAAAACAGCACTGCCTCTGCTAGAACAGCCCACACACCTCTCACTACCCAAGCCTTACACTGGCCATGCAAGGCCCTAATTCTGGCCCATTGACCTTGTTATTAACTTAGGAGAATCTGCTTTGTGAACTGGAGACTGATTCCAGACACAGCACGTCAGCAGATAAAACTTGTGCATGGGATAACAGCAAAGGCCTTGAAAAGTTAAGGTCCCACAATCACAGACAGCTCACTGGTGGCAATCACTAGTCCCTGTCAAAGTACAACCTTAAAAGCTGGGAAAAGACTGCTTTGGCTTCAACAAAAGAGTAGCAGCAAAACAAGAAGGAAAGCAAGTGACAGGAAAATCTTGGCTAAGCAGATGATAAAGCACCTGCCACAGCTTGGGGAAGTAACCCAGTGTTCCCAAACATCACATTTGGGAATCCGTGGCAGACACCAAGGACTGGGAAACATCTCAAATATCTTACTTAAGGAGATTCCAAATTAGGGATGGCAGAGGACAGAAAAAAATTATGTCCACCACAGTTCCAGCTTCCCCTGTCAAAGAGCTCTTCAGCCTGGGAACTTTGATGTGTGAGATTATCAAGGATCACAGTCACTGCAAAATGCAGTTTTTACACACATAGCTGACTCAGGGCAGGGTCAAGGACTGAAAACTTTGAATAAATAATGATAATGATTAATAATGTGCATGAGTTATTAGTAGGAAGCACGCAAGTTTTGAATGTCAGCCCAGAAGCTTTGTTTAAAGGATTAAAACTGGCCTGCTTTGTCAGTCTTCTTGGAGACTGTAAGCTCTGACTGGCATGAATGCACACATATGTGGTTACAACAGCCCTTACAGCTATTGTAAAAATAAAGGGGATTTATGAACTGCTGGATCCAATCTCAAGAAAACATCAATATAGGAAAAGGTAAACTCCCAGGCAGTATGTCAGTATCAAAAGAGCAAAGGAGAAAGGTGGAAGAAAAGCAAGTGGGACCATATTTAGGAACTGCCCCACCTTGACTGCACAGCTGAGTAGGATTCAACAGCACAAATCATAGGGAAAGAACTTGGACTCATAATTTAGAATCATAGAATAGCTTGAGCTGGAAGGGACCTCAAAGATTGCCTCTTTCCAACCTGCCTGCCATGGGCTGGAATGCCATTCACTAGCTCAGGTTGTTCAGGGCCCCATCCAGCCTGGGACTGAACACTGCCAGGGATGGGGCATCCACAGGCTCCCTTGGCAACCTGTTCCCGTGCCTCACCACTCTCACAGTAAGGAATTTCTTCCTAATACCTAATTTAAACCTGTCCTCTGTCAGTTTAAAACCACTGGCCCTTGTACTGTCACTATCTGCCCATATTAGAAGTCCCTCCTTGAAGCCTTCTCTTGTCCATGATGAACAACCCCAACTCTCACCCTTTGGAAGCAGGACAGGGAAGAATTAACAAAATATATATCCAAGTTTCATTTATAGTTTTGAAAACTGTATAAAATATACCTTTGAACATCAAAGGACAAGAAATACATTTGACAATCTTTTGCTTTAACATTGGACAGCAAATCCCTGTCATATGAGACACAACTAAGCAAGAACTTCCTTAGATGGAGACAGTAACATAAAAATATTTGAAAAAGGTCTATAAACATTAGACTGCAGGCTGTTGTAAGAAGTTACTGGCCTTGTTGAGCTCTCTTCTAATTTTATCTGGACCAAATTGATCAAGGAAACGTCTGAAGTGAAATGCATCTATAGCAACAATTTCAGTGTAGCGTCGTTGCCATTCATCCCTAAAATTGGAGAGGGGAGAAAAGTAGATGACATTAGTTGTTTAATATCAGCCATATAACCCCAATTCAAAATGAGCAATTCCCTTCTCTGTTAGAAGCAGCTGAAACTCAACAGACAATGGAACTTTTTCTTTGTGGGTTAGGAATGAAAGCAGCATCAGAAATGAGACAGGCTTCCCCATAAATTTAGAAATACCCCGGCTAGACTTTGAGCATGAACGTGAAACAAATCTAATTACACAGCACTATTTATCAAGTATGTAAGAACATTGCAAGGTCAGTATTTCTCTGTCTTCCTCCAACATTTAAATGAGAGTACACTGTGTATGTTTCTATACCAAATGAGTAATTTTCTGTATATACTCTAATGACATTGCTGGAGAAATAAATTCAAGAGCTCACAGCCTTCTACTCAGATTCATGGTATTGATTCTTATTTTACCACACATCAGCTGCACTGTGGCATCTGAGGTATCATTACCACACTTCTTGTGACATTGCAAACCATAGTTCAGTCAATATCTTAGCAAAAATGTGCATTAAATACACATATCTCTAAACTGTAAAAGATGTTGATCTAAGAACCAACATAAGGGCAGATACCATTTATTAGTATGGCATTACTAATGTGACACAACTTTCTTAGCTTGTTGGCTCTGCTGAAGAGAACCACATCAACCAAACATCCTATTAAGGCAAATGCTAGGAAAAACTTTTCAAATTTCTAACATTTCTTTCTTCCTTCACTTGAAATACTTAAGTGAAACTTTACCTAGGGGTCTTATCTTCATGGCTCCTTGCCCAGCGGTAAGTCTCTGCATAGCCTGTGTACTCACTGTACTGCTCAGTACCTGAAACAAATTATTTTCCAGATTACATACAAAATATGTACATTTTTTTTTTCACTTGGCAAATCTTTGGTAGGAATCACTGCTTCTCCAAATGAACACACAGCTCTCAGAAGCAATGGGAAACAGAGAATTTGTATTTGCACCACAAATACAAGACTTCCTTGTAAAGCTCCCTTCCCACAGGTGATGAGCAGCACCACCACAGAACATTACAAGTGCAGACCTACATATGCTGCCCAGTATATAATGAGAACTGGTCAGCACCTACAAACTACTTCTGTACAAGCACAAAGAACCAAAAAACCACAGTCTGGAATGTACTTGGCTGCTCTTGAAAAGGTCCAGAAGGGGATCTTGGCAAGTATTAAAGGCTGTCAGAAAGCAACTCCTTAAGGTCACCAGTAATTTTAGCTACTGTGCTCTGCTATACCAAATCCTTTTCAAAGGTTTATCCCAAGACAGAGTGTATCTTAACTGAGAACAACGATCATAACCTTTCTAAAAGGTTGCCTTTCACCTCATTTTATAGAGCTTCAGGACCTTGCTTCAAAACCTGGGCATTGCACAAATGCTTCAGAGAAATACTCCTCAAGTAATGCCCCAGCAAAATCACACCTTCTCCCCATTCTGAGGTCACAACAGCTGAGTTTCAGAAGCAATCACAGAATCCTAAGATGGGTTGGAAGGGACCCCCAAGGATCATGAGTTCAACTCTTCAGTGAACTCACGGCCTTGGCGTTGTCGGCACCATGCTCTGAGCAGCTGAGCTGACTGGTTTGGAGCTTCATGCAGGTACAGTTTGGCACAATTACAAACAGTAAGAAGAGAACTGTTTAGAGTAAGAAGAGAACTGTATCACAAACCAAGCTGTGATACCAGCTATATCTATAAATAGAACAGGAAGAAATAGGTTTTAAAGAATTGCAAGCTGACAGCACAAAACATCTGATTACTAAGACAAGAGTACTGCCTAACTATTGCACAGATCAGCAATACCCTGAGAATACAAAGGTTTAAACTTAATCTGAGTTTTCCAATCTCTAAATAGAAATGCAATTGAAGTTGAACAATCAAAAACATAAAACTATTAACTGTAAACCTCACTGACAAGAAAACTTCAATGTTTACCTCCAGTAGTCTCAAACATGGGAAACAAGCTGTTAAAAACTGTTTACAATTATGCATATACGTCAAAATATTTTCCCCGTTTACCCTTATTAATTTTAACTGACAAGACTTATCAATGCTCATTTAATTCATCTGCCCTGCTACTCACTCATTATTTATTTAGTCTAGAACATTAATCATTCTGAAGGCACACAAATCTCACTTAAGGCTATTTTGAAAAGTTGCTATGCAAAATGAGTGGGATGGTAAGAGATTTCTCACTGAGTTCACTTCCAGATGATTAAAAAAACATCTGAAAAATGTGGATAACAAGATATACCTATGTATTCACACACATTCATGCCCTCAGACAAAGGACAACCACAAGCAGCTTCCATACTCTGAATTCAGCCTTCTAATTGAATTGCAGGCTATCAGCCCTCACTAAGACTTTTCCTGACGTGAGTAAAATTCAGTTATCTTGACAGACTTGATGAAAGTGTCTAAGCACAGAGCAAGACAAGACAGATAAGGGAAATATGTGACTCTCTTGAGAGCTCTCTTTAGAGGACAACCTAGCAAAACTTCCAGCTTGAAAAAGGAAGCATTTTCTTTGGTGTTTTAAGATGAGGAAAGAAAACTCTAGGTCATTGAGATATTGCACTAGGATAGATTAAATTATAAAGTATTAGGCTGTTTTTTTCAAGGTTCATTGTTTTCATTAATTTTTATGGAAGTGTAGTGTCTGATGACAAAAGCACCAGGAAACAAACAAACAAGCAAATACACCCATATACACACACATATCCACTAAAAGAAAAAAAATCAATACTGGAGAAACTCAAGGAAATCACACAGACTCCATAGTCATGTCCCAGAAACCCAAAGTTAATGAAAATCAATGAGTTTTCATAAGTGAAGCTCTGGAAATTTGTCAGACAATTTTCACTGGCAATACTTCTGCCTGTGAATTACTGGGATACAAACTTCTGTTGCTGGGAGAACAGAAGCAGTATGCTTCTGTTAGGATAACAGGATAAGCTAGATATTGTTAATGTTTCTGGTGACTCTCTTGTCTTCCCATCAAAAAAAAAAAAAAAAGAGAGGTAAAAGAAGGGAAACCATGAATAAGGTTCCACCAGAACTTTAAAAACAAGCTACAAAACCTAGAATAGCCTACCTAAAGTCAAAAGAATGTATATATAAGTGCCATTCAAAAATCTATCCTTTGTGAGACTTGTAAAAGTTACAGCATCAGACAAAAAGTGAAATTGCCAGCCAAGTGTCGCTGTTTATGGGACCTCACCAATTTAGACAGATTTGCAATTACTACTAAAAATAAATTTACCTTTCTCAGATTCCATAGTCCAGCTTTACATTTGCATATGATGTGTACAGCATTATAATGTTTCCAGGGATTGGGAAAAATCCCACCATAGTGCTCCTCTAGTATTTCCAATGAGCTAGAATTATACCCCCAAAGAGGTAGGACCATGAGCACTAAACAAAAAGTATATGTGAAAATTGCAAGAGTTTAGTTTTATAGTCACCAATATAAAGGCACATTTAGTGCCATAAGTGAGAGGAAGGTCCTTCTTTCCCTTTCAATCAGTTCTGCCAATCCTTATCTTGTACCACCATTTCTCTTTGGCTCTCCCAACACTGGCACAATCAGCTTGCTAAATCCAGATAAAAACCAATTTTCCTCTCTGAGTAAATTTTCAGCCAAACCAATTATCTCATCTCATTTGCTGCCTGGCTAATGTGGTCAGAAGGCTCCAAAACTGCCCTGCTAAGATGAAGTCCTGACTGGCCATTGATAGATCTGTAAATTTAAAGCAAACAAGGAACACAGCTTCATCTGCTCTTAACACTGCCTGAGGATGTGTGAGCTCAAACAGGAGGGGAAAAAAGAAAGAAAGAAAGAAAGAAATCTGAATGAAAACCACTCACACTTATTCACAGCTCTACCAGAAATGCAGCTGTAGGAATCTCTGGTGTTGCTGCTGACATTTCTGTAGGTAGATGTCTGTGTTGAAGAACTCCACTGTTTGCATGACCATTTTCATAGTCATTACAGCAGTGATCTTAACCAGATACTGGAAAATCACAACAAATTTAATTTATCTCCCAATTTCTTGGGCTCCACTGCAAATTTAAGCTACACAGTTATACCCATTAGGCCGCCAAGTCAAGATGCATCACAAAGAATGTAATTTATCAAGAGGATCGTGACACAGAAGAGACTTGGCTAGGAACCAAGATGGAAAAGCTCCAGGGATTAAATAAAAATGATGGAATGGATATTTCCATTAGAGAAGAACTCCATATCCTAAATACTAATTGAAAAACACTGGAAGATAAAATATCAAGAAAGATAAAACGTTGCTGCAGTAAAAAAAAAACATTCTCACCTTTATTTGTCCATGCCAAATCACCATTTTTGTTTGCAGGGGAATGGAAGGTCTTTCAAAACACTAATTTAGTGTTTCCTCCTAATCAGTTATTACCCAGACTGATAACTGTGCTCTGTTTTTCCCCTTCCCAAAAAAGTCTCTCCCAGAGGACAGTGCTTAAAATATGTTACTATAGTATCACATCCAAAATACAGAACAAAAGTCTCTGACTCTTGTCTTCTGACTCATTTTTTTAAATGTAATCACAAAAGCCAATTTATCAAAAACTTTTCACAGAAATGGCATTAATTCTGGCAGAGTGGAAAAACAAAATAAAACACTGTCTTAAAAAGATTGCCAAGCATAAGTCTGAAAACAAAAGATACTCTGCCCAGTACAATCAATAACTCAGAACAGAGTAAGACCTGCAAGATTTAAGCTCAAATTTCTACTGTGTATGCATGTGAGAGAAAAGTGCTATTGATGGATTTTTCCAAGCAATGTGTTCCAATACCTACAGAAACTCTTGACTTTTGAGACAGCTCAGGTAACTAAACCTAACATTTTTGCTACAGCAGACTGAAAAATAAACATAGTTTATTATAATTTCTAACCAGGGGATCTCTCTCAGTAAATATACTTTTCTTTATAGTTGCTCTTTAGTGTAAATAAAGTAGTATTATAGCATCATTTTATTTCTTCAGTCATGAAAAATGCTCATTTATGTTTAGAACTGAGACATGCAGCATGACCTGGGCTGCTCCAGTTCTTAACAGTGACATTTGGTTTTTGATGCTGTTTTAATGCAATGGATAATTAAACAATCCAAGATGTCTAAGAGAGTGGGAAGCAAAAGAAAAAACCCTTTCAGCTCAGCTCTGGGCAGACAGGACATCTTCACAAACAACCTCTCAGCAACACACTGGAGAAGCAGGTTATTTCTGATATGATTAGGAACCCATAACTAACCTACAAGTAACATAAACACATATTTGAAACTTAAAAGATCAAATCCTACAGAGACAGTTCCCAGCCTTCCACCCTTTCCTAATGGATGCAGATTTTCTACTCTTCCTCTTCCTCCCCTTTTAGGTAATCAGAAGGTAGCTCCTCTTTTCAAGAGTGTGCAATCCCACAGATCACATCAAATGCTACAAATTTAGGAGAGGAACAAAAACCCCACATCCTTTAACATAAGAGAAGCAATATCAGAAATTGTGGCTGTTACCTATATTGCCCATCAGCATTCTTTAGCTCAAGACACCAAGTCCTCAAACACATTTACAAAGGATAAAATAAATTCTTCTGCTTGCTGTCACTTTGTTTTTCTCCTTTCACAAAACATGTATGGAACAGCATCCATTGTGGTGTTAGCTGGGATGAAGTAGGAGGCTCTTTGTCAAATGAGTATTAACTTTTCTCCCTTTTTTTAAATTCTTACAGCATTTAAACATACTAAACTTCATCTTGAAATGTATTTTGTACATATATAAAACCAGAACTTGATGTGAAACATTTTCTGCAAAGACTAACCTGTGATGATAAGACATTCATTGTGATCCAAGACTTCAGTGATGAGCCTTGATACAATCAGTTCTGGATTGATTAAAAACCGAATTTCTTCTTGTACCAGTCCTGCCCCGGTCACACCACCTCCCACAAAACGGTTTGCAAAGTCAACCTACCAAAAACACATTCAGGAGGATTATGATAGGATAAGGAAAAAAAATCCTTTAATTACCAAATTTAATTAAATCCTGTAAATATTTCAATTATTGTGTTGAAATCTGCTGCTATCACTCAAAACCACAAGCAGAGAAACTGATTAACATGATCATGCCTCTTTTTTCCATTCAACTTCTCAGAAAACTTACAACAAATGAGACATTACACAGCAAAAGAAATTTTGCATCTCAAACGTTCCAAATCCAAGTTGTGTGGGTTTCCCTTGAAGAAGCACATATTTCAGAATAAAACACATTTCAGTAGATGTGACAGATGAAAATAGCATTCTTTTTAGGGCCATTGAAACATCATTAGTTTGTCCTTTGGAAAGCACTCTGCCCCAGCTGTGCACATGGAAGTATCTTTAGATTAGCACTGCCCCATAACAGTTCTATATCTAAAAAACCCTCGAACAAATTCTTCCTGCAATGTACTAACAATCTGTTATGAATTGTCCTTGAAATGCACTTGAACAAGGCAAATACTTTTGACTCTAAAGGTTTCTGTTTGAAATAGAGAAGCTCTGGACTATTTGTTGCTGCAATACTACATATTTTGCAATTTACATTTTCATAGAGACAACAGTTTTAAAAAGAGTTTGTTTATTCAATAAAGTAATTACTATTCACTCAATTAACTGCCCACATAAATTTATAATTTTAAAAAGTTACTTCATCCTCCAAATCCTATTAGCTTCTTACTGGTTTTTACTTAGGTAGCTGATGAGAGCACAGGTACAGGAGGGGGATAGAAGTTGCTGGGGTGCATGAACACCTGTATCAATGACAGACTAACCCAGGAGGCAGAGTCCAAAGCACACCAAGAGCCAGCCACTACAGCAGCATGTGTTCCTCTAGTCTATCCTGGAAATACCAACATATTTCAGTTGTTTGAGATTTGCTAAACTTGACTATGATAAAAAAGTTATATGAAAATCACTCAGATGTACAGAGTGCCAGGGTCCCAAAGCACTGTAACTGTGCTGGGCCCAGCCTTGTCCCACACAAACACTCACCCTGTCCTGCACCTCACCTGTGACACCTCGCCTCTGGGCCCAGCCCTGCTGATGTCCATGTGCTCACCAGACATCTCTCACTGTCCCTGGTGCCCTGACTCAGGCTCATCACCCTGCCTTTGTCTGACGGCACAGCCAGTCAGCAGGGGCTGTGGTTGGTACCATCCCTGCCCACTGAGGTGGGTCACTGTGGACTCCTGCACTGTCCTGCCCTGCTCATCCTGCTCCCTGCTGGAGTGACTGCTCTGCTGTCAAATTATTGTAGAACTCCCATACCTTCTCAATGATTTCTCAGGAGCATGTCCTCACAGCACTCCTCCTTTTTCACAGTACAGACAACAAACTCCAGCTCCCTTCAGAGCATAACCAACAAACTCCAACTCTCTTGACAGCACAACCAGCTCACCCACTCTTTTGTAGCACTCGTCTTATTTCACACAGCTGTGGCCTATTAAGGGCAGGCCTGCTCCTAATCTTTGGTGATTGGTACAGCTGCAGCTCCTCAGGGGTGAGACTGCCTTCTGCACTATTCTCTTACATTCTATCCCTCCACACTGCTTCTCATCTAAGCAGAGGCATTTTGTTTGATAAAACTTGAAATAGCCAAGAGGAAAATATCACCTCCTAGGTAATACCCCCTTATACAGGGTACAACACCAGAAAAATGGTTATTATTGAGCAATTGCTGAGTTCTTCATAATTTCAGCACACATTTAAGTGCCCCAGTTTCATAAAGTTATGAGACATTTTAAAGTCTGTGCAACAAGCATTGCAGAAAAGAATTCTTCTTGTCTCCTTCCTCCTCTTCCAATGCAGTACTTGTCCCTGGCTAAAAAAGTTCTAATTTTTACTTTTTTTTGGTAAAAGAATTCTAGAAGGTAGACCTTTTTCTTTTTTTTTCTTAAAGAAAAGCAGAAAGCAAACAACTAATTTGAAAACTCAAATGTGTTCCTTCCTATAAATATGGACAGGACATCCTCCTTAGGAATTTCTTTTGCTGACTGTCTCCCAGACTGAAACAGTGGTGCTGGCAGCAGCAAGAAAGTCTCCTGGGTTACTGACCTGGTCACTGTCTGGGGCACAAGAATAACTTTTTTAAAATAAACTGAAACCCTTGACAAGTCATCAAGATCACAGCCTGAATCTTTTGTCTTGTCAATCTTTGATCCTGGCTTGAACCAGAAGACCTGAAGCTGTCCAGGACTTGTGATTTTCTGTCAGCCCTTTCTGTAACAGGTACATGTGCTACCTAGATGAGCTGGGGAACATTGACAGTACTGCTCATAGAATTAATTTTGATAGTTTTTTTTATGCTGCATAACATCTTGTCATTTAAGTCAATTGAGGATAAACAAGTAACTTTATTAAGCTGATAGACCATAAAAGTATGACAAAAACACGAAATCCACAAGAACTGTTATATGCACTTACCTGCAGCATACCCTGTCCATTGCTTTCAATGGTGCCTTCATAGGTGACATGCAATCTAGATAATTTTTTCTGAGATCTACCATTGAGGAAAAATATTGTACAAAAAGGATCATTTCAGAACCCCCACAAAAACCCATTCATTTTAAAACAAAAATCACCCAAACCCCAGCTGCTTACACACCTTGAACATAAGGTGGTTTTTAAAAAAAATCAAAAATCCCAACGGATTAAAAAAAAGTTTGCATCACAGAAATAATGTCATTTGTCAGTTTCTCCACCTTCTACCATAAAACCCCACATCTGAAGCTTTAAGTTTTTCTTGCTCCCCAGCAATGAAGCTATAATACTTGTGCTCATGCTGATCATCACCCTTAGTTCATTACGTTACCTGTCATTTCTTAAATCAAGAAATGATTGGTAATATAATCCCTCTCTTTCTTCCCCCCACTCAAACAACAGCATCAAAGACATATTGGTGTCTTAAAACTTCAACTATACTTGTTTTCATTACAGAAAAACATATGGGACAACTCAGGACACAAACTACTTGCAGCAATTCAGCCACTGCCCTCTATTTCTTTCTGCAAGAGTCTATAGCAAAGATTGTTTTCTGTAGTACTTCTAGACCTGAATCAACTCCAAATGAATGACACTCGGTTATTGTGGACTTAAGAAACTTCTTACAGGATGTTTGACTTACCTCTCCCAGTCTGGAAACTCCTGGAGACACTGCCTTGTGAACGTCACCAATCCCGTAGGTTCTACAGGCAAACCAACCCCAAAGGAAAATGTATTAAGTGTGGGAGCTTAGCCCTTAGATTATCTTAACTGGTAATCTTAGAAAACTACAAACATCATCCTTGGTCAATACCAAGAGCTTAACTTTCCTCAGGAGTGACTCTGATTTTTCCCCTGACAGCCCATGCTCGAACTGAAGACAAGTAACATGAAGACCAAAATATTACTTCTCTTCCCACTTTGCAGTTTGAGTATTTTAGTTTTTCCAGATCTAGGAAAAACTATTTAATAAGTGATTTTCACTTTAACAACACTCAACACTACTAAAAAGATCTAGTAGTTGAAGTAAAATGCGTTGCTTTAGAGAAAAGGAGATTGTGAACCTTTAAAATCAACACTGTTCAGTGCTAGAGAGTATTCAACCTATGGAGGGTGGAAGCAGCAGCTCATATTTCCAAGAAAACCCAACTATGTCAAAAAGCATGCAGTGTTAGCAGAGCCCAAATCAGGCAGTTTTTAACCCTGCAGGATGCAAGTGAAATTCACTGTATTCCAACTGAGAAAAGACTCCTGCCCTTGAGGGGAAAAAGAGGAGCTGTTGCTCATTGCAGGAAGGATGCAGCATCATCTTTTCTCCTTATTTCACTCAAAACAAGTTCAGTTTTGCAACAGAAAGAAAATATCAACCTTTTATTAGGTGATATCATCTTAATAAAATCTTCAATTAAGACTTGTTTCTCTGCTACAGTAAATCTACTGTGATTTATGTAAACATTGAGAAAACTACATAAAGCACAAATGCATCCTTCTAAAAAAGCCTTAAGTAGTCCTATGCTTTACTTTAAAATTTAGGTTAAAAAAAGGTTATTTTCTCTGAAAAAAGTGCATAACTTTCAAGCACGATAACCAAGTGCTCTTTCACAAGGGAATTCTGATATCATTTGTGGTATTCGGCAAATCAAGCATTCACCTTTTGAGCACAAAGTCTTTAGTTTCCAGCATTCTTTTACAGAGAACTCTATTATTATTTACAATAAAAAGAGCTACAAAATGATTACAGTAACTTATAGAGCTAAATTACTCCAGCCTTACTAATTCCTGGGACAAAAAAAAAAAAAGAAATGGGGTATTTTAAAGGTATGATAGGAATTTTTAATTCAAGAAAAGAGCGTTCAAGAATCTCATTAAATATTACTTAAAGTTATAATGTTAGGAAATCTAATATGGTAGTTTCATAAAGCATGTTCCCATCAGATTTCATATTCTCAGGGGCTCAGGGACAGCTGCATCAATTTAGGATTTGGTTTGCACAAAACCATTATAACTCAGGTATTAAAAAAAGCTGGTACACTGTATCTCTTCTCAGTCCCACACATAGATCACAAGTTACTTTTACCTCAGAGATTTAGTTCTATTGATATTGCTTAAAGTCTGACAGCTGAAATAGGATATAGCTGCATTCATTTTGTGGTGAATTAAAATGATGAAGATGGTCTGAACCAAGTAAGAGGCTTTATATTTAATAGTTTAAATCTGTCTTTCCTTTAAAACATACCTTCTGAGAAAGTATGAATTTAATAGTAAAATGCTGACATGTAAAGAAAAAATTCTTTTAAAAAAGGCCATTGTAAGGGTATTGCTGCAGATCTGGTGTATGCTACTACAGTAAAATCTCTTTCTCCCCAAAAATGCAATATATAAGCTATGGTAGTTATCACAAAAATAGATCTGTTTGTGAAAGCTTATGCAAATTTTCAAATCTGTGGTAATAACAGAAGATCTGACTATGCATTAAATTTCCCAAGAGTAGAAGATATCTCATGTCTTGCTATCATTAGTTTTATTTGAACTGGGCAAACCTAAAAACAGCTTTGCTTTGGAACCATAGAAGGGAAAAACCTGAAACATCAACACAAGTAGGGGAAAATCCCTCAGAACTCCAAACATTATAGTCAGAATACTAAATATGCATTCTGCAGGAAAAGTGAAGCTTGACTCAAAATCTTTAAGCCTGTGATTTTAATGGCTGTAATGGTGCCAAGTTCCCTCTACATCCTCACTTTGATGTGGTGGTGGAAGTGGTTGCATATATTATTAGCATTATATATATATGTTTATATCTACACAATGATATACACACACATTTTTACACACACACACATAAATATATTTCTGTATTTCACACACATCCTATATATATTTATATCTACTTATCAGAAAAAATAAAACAGAATGAGCTCTAGGCAAACAATTTACTTGCATGCATCATACACATGGTAAGAAGTGCCATCAGTATGAAAATCAGTGTACTTGCAAGCTGACTTTTGTTAAATACTTCCATCATGGCTGTGTAGCCATTTCTAAATTGAATGGGCTTAAATTTTTTATCTATCTGCTTTGCAGCTCAAAAAAAGAATAAAGGATATACTTTTTTCTGTGACTCTTCTAAAATAGCAGAAAAGGGTCTTAAGTTTCTCAGGCTTTCTTGGTGACCTCCCTTCAAACAACCTGAAAAACAGGAAATAAAAACAAACAATTAGATTTCAGGGACACAGTGCAGAGCAATTAGTGCTACTTACTAATTGCAATTTGATTTTTTGTAATTATTATGCACACATTTCATTAGCTTTGCATTTAAATACTGTACTGTAGAAAGAACCCTCTAGACAGCCTCTCTGTAATTCACGATCTTAGAAATAATGAGTTTATTGACTTGCTGCATTTCTGATGAAGATGCCAAGTGAATGCTTCTCTCACTTGCACCAATCTTCTAATACCAAGAAATGCAATTTCAATATGAACATTTTGAAAAGCTAATAGTTTTATTTGCAGCAAATTGAAATGTTTAACAGGTCATTAAGTGACCAAGGGGTAAAAACACATATGTTGGGTACTCCAAATGTCCCCCTCCTTTCAGCTCAGTAAGCTGCTCAGAAGAATTAATGCAATCTTGCTGCTTTCAAGAGCTGCACTGCACCAGCAGCATTTCTAAAGAAAAGAACCTTCCCTCAACAGAAATGGCTCCATCCACTGGGCTGTTATAGCCATTCTAACAGACATTTGTAAAAAACCTAAGCATTAAAATGAAGGATCTTTTTTTTTTGCCATTAAGTGAATCTATTCTTTTAAGGTTAGCTGAAATACTTTTACTGCATCATCTGTCTTCCAGCAACTTGAACATGCATTACTTAATTTCACTTCCAGCAGAGTGACAAGGCATTGTTATTGGCAACACATAATGGAATTTATCTGGAAGGAAGAACAGCAGTGACTTCAGAAATAAAACCCTTTGAATAGGAAGTTTACTAAAAGATGTCTGATCCACTGAAAGCCTGAGGATATAAGATTCCCCCACAATAAACAGTCTAAGTAAAGCAATGACACAACATGATTCATTTGTTTCTGTGTAGTGGAATGACAATCTGCCTTTAAAACCAGAATGCTGAGAGGTGAATTAAACTAGATTCAGCAAGGAAGTAAACTGGATTTTTTTCAGCATTTAAAAATCCTTATGATGTATACAGGCTGAAGAGATCAATTCTGAAATATCTATTAAGTCACAGAGGTTAATTTTATTAGCACTTTATTCTCTGAATCAGGACTTTAGGAAGGAAAACTCCAGACTTTTACAGTCTATTCTAACATGGGCCTATATGCAAGTTCTATCAAGGCCTTGAGTTTGCACAGATAAAAAGGGGTTTATAAAAGGAGTCAATGTGTGCATGTGTGTGCAGGTGTTGCCTAAATTATCCCCAACCTCTGTCTGGAAGTCTCATTCATATCAAGTCTTTAAATTGGTTAATTTGTCTGTCAGCCTGATCATGCTTTTACTAATTTTTATGCCTCTTCACATCAAAGTGACATCTTGCTTACATTGCAAACCCTCAGGAGAGAGTTCTTCATGTCACAAAGGCAATATGCGATCCAGCACAAACAGCAGGCTGGGCAGGAAAGGTGCAGAACTATGGCTGAAGTAAGTCAGACCACTAAAACCAGTCATATTTGTGCATGCAACAGGAAAAGCAGGTGATATTTACATGATCCAAAAATGGCCTTGTCCTACCACATTAACTTAAATGAGGACATCACATTGCAAATTTACAAACATTTTGACTTCGAACCTTATTTCTGAAATAATCAATTGGGCAACATAATGAAAATTTTCTTTTTGAAGCAAATGCTTTAAAGAATAGAGCTATATGAAGGCATCACTAAGATATTAAATAACATTATTCTTCAAGTGCTGCAACACAGTTCCTACTAAAAATCCACCCAAAAATCTAAGTGGAAACCACATCATTTCCTGACAGAACCACCTAGGGCCAAAAGCCATTAATTTCAATTAGAGCACTCATCCAGATGAAGTGCACTGTAAATCAAACACAAAACACTGCAAGTCCACTTTCAGGTGAAGTAATTAAAATCGTAGTGGCAACTGTATATGTAAGCTTTGTACAGGATGTTCCCACTGCCATGCAGTAACTTCAATTTATCAGCTACAGGAGCTGAGAGAGCCTCCAGGACTGATCACCAAATTCATCTCTGGCTCTCCAGCCACTCCAGGGGAGTAGCAATGCTAATCAAACACAAAACCTCCCCAGAGATACATTCAGGCCAGAGATTTTAAAACATAAGAAAGTAGATGTGTGAACGTTGTGTTTATGAATTTGTAGATTGCTAAAGTCATTGTGGCTAAATGAAAAATCTTTCCTAGCAAATATTCAGACATTTAATTGTTCTGAAGAGAAATACAATACCTGAAAAATAAAATACTAAAAATAGTAAGAACTGATATTGAATGAATGCTAAGTGAAGCAAGCATACAGTAAAAAATATGCTTACTTCACTTAGGAACCGCCAGCAACCATACAGTAAAGCTACAAGGCAACAGTTCATAACATTTCAACAATTATTACAAAAACATGTATGAGCATTATCCAAAAAATTCTAGGGTGGAAAAAGAAGCATTGTAAAAGTGCAATCAATATTCTGGTTTTTGCAGTCTTGACTGTCAATTCAAAATTGTCATATTTGCAACCAACATTTCCACCTTCTAAAGCTGGAGTCAAAAGCTCCAAAGAACCTACTCCCAACTCCTTCCTTGCAAGTTCAAGGTAGACTGTAAATTTGCAAAGAACTTCAAAGGGTGCATTGAAAATAACACAAGAGAAAAATTATTTAAGAACATTAAGAGCTTCACAAAAGTGACCTTGGTTTGCATAGAGTTTACTGGGGAGAATTTAAACCTGCTTAAGTAAACAGTTCCCAAATACACTGTTTCTGAATAAGGTAAAATTAAAATGCAGTATTTACCTGTAAAATTTAATTTCTGGGAATTAAATTGCTGCCCTGATGTTACTCTAAGAACTGGCTCCAGCAGGAGCCATTACAATCACGTGATTTAATCTCCCACTTCCATAATTTCCTAATGATATTTCCATACCCAGGCTGGGCTTCCTTTGAATGTTTCTTTTCAAAGAGAATAATCATGTCCTTACATTGAAGTTGGAACCTTCTGTAAGACCCAGAAAGGTGTACACAGTATGCAAAAATTTGCAGTATCGATCATACCTCAAATAATAATTCCCATTCATAAATCCATGGCATTCCATGGGTACTCTTTGCAGAAGGGTGGATACACAATTTTGTACTTGTGATCCCTGCAATTAACCATGTGTACTGTTTCCTCCACTACCCACAGCCACTAAAAAGCATCTTTACTACTGGACTCAAAGGAACTTTAAGTTGTTTGTTAATTTTGTTTTTCCTTATATTTTAGTGTGATCTCACTAAAGATAACTTACCATCTGAACAAGTACAAAACATTTAACTAAAACCTGATCTTCTCCTACAAATAGAAGTCAAAGAAGGACTTACACAGAAGTCATATGGATAGATGAATTTCACCCAGTAAAGGGACTGAGCAGGGGGAAGGATGGACAGTTAAGGCAGAAATTAAAATACTGGAAAGATGTTTCCTTCCACCTCAAGAACACAGCTAATCACTAAATGGTTTTAGTCTAAGGCACTGGATGACAAAATGTTTGGAAAAGTGAATAAACCAAATATCTTATTTTTTCTATGTTGTTCCATTTCAAGCCTATGCTTACCTGATGTATATATACATGTAGGGGTGGAAATAACATACTTGAAGTATGTTCCTGTCAAACTTTAGTGCCCTCCATATGATTGAGGGCTATTCTGATTAAGTGGCTGAGCATCCTCAATAGGAACCACTGAAATTTCAGGTTCATACACAGCATCCTAAAGGAAAAACTAATATAGTGTTGAATGGTCCAATAGCCTCATCATTTAGGACTGCATTAGTTGCACTGGGGAGCACATAAGAAGCATCTCTTCCATCTTTCTCCTTCAATTCCCAACCTCTTGGAATAAAAAAAAGTGGAGTTCGAGGAACACACAAGAAATACAAAATTCTCTTTTGCAAAACCAGTATCATATTTCGAGTGAAGTATTTTTTGAGCTTTGACTTCTAATACTAACGCAGCTTATCAAAACAGTTTCAAAAGGATTCTCTCTCAGTATGATTTGACATTTTTTATCCAATTGTGCTCAAGGCAACCTTAGTCACATCCACATTAAGGACTGCCTAGAGATATTAGTGTATCAAAGGTCAAGCAAAGCTGTGTGCATTAATGTGCACCATGTAAGATTTGGAATGTGTATAAAATTATGTGTGCTTATCACACTATTGCATGGGACAGACAACAATTTCAACCTCTAAACATATGAAAGCAAACCTGATTACCATATAGGAATGACTGAAATTACATTAATTACCCATGTCCTTTGCCTCAAGTGTTTCCTGAGAATGCTGTTTTGTTGATTATTTATTGGGTGGAGTTTTCCCCATACAGAAATATATATCTGCCTTTTAAAATGGAGTTTTAAATCTCTAAAGCCTCACTTCAGTGAATAAGATAAGAGATAGGGCCAGTCAAGGACTTTTCATGAGGAGTGGAGCTGCAACAAGTGTTTCATTGCTATAATTCATGCTTCTCTTCCCAAGGGAAACAAGCTACACTATATTTTGGGAACAGCAATACCCCAGAGACCCACTCTGGTCTCCAAAGTACCCCGGGGATGTGCAAGACAATCCACTAGGCTGCAGAAAAAAAATATTTTTGTCCCATTCATTAAATAAAAAAAAAATTTGAAGTAGTGATTATTTCATCTTTATCTCATCCTTTCTAATTTTTTTCATGTTTTATAATGCAATATATTAGTAAAATAGCACATGTATGTAACTCCTAAGTAAATAAATACAAATACATTGGGGTGTATAAATATATATTTTTTTTTTTTACATATATAGTATAAACACAATACATTGCTCAAAAATGTTTTACTGATAAGTATGTGAGATCAAAAATGTTTGCAGACCATAACCCTAAATAGTTTTAAATATTAAAACCTAAACATCAGTTAGATAATGCAAGATGAAGAAACCTTAGCAAATTTAAAATGGGACATTCTTATATCCAATA